TATATATATATATATATATATATATATATATATATATATATATTCAAAAGTTTATTTATGTGTTTTTATTAACTTAATATACCTATAAAACATAGATGTATGGTGGTGTTCTTATGGCATCGACACACCTGTGCTCCAACAATTTGCGATTAGTGTTCTAAGCCAAACTTGTAGCACTTCTCCTTGTGAGCGAAATTAAAGTGCATTTGATCATCCTGTAAGTTTTCTTTGTTATAGAAAATAATTAGCTCAAATGAAACTTTAATTCAAGTAATGGTTTAAATTTATCAACAATCATTTCAGTTGCACTCTAACAAGAGAAATTGTCTTTTGCAAAAGAAGTTGAATAATCTTGTATTCGTTCAATATAACAAAAGACTAGAGAGACGCTACAAATCTCTTAAAAATAACAAATCTTCATATCCTATTTTCTTGAGAGATGTGGAAGAAAATGATGATTGGGTAGTTCCAACAGACATTGAGGAGATAATCTCCTTTAATCAGATGTACGAGAAGCAATGGGAGGTAATGAACAAGTTGGGCCAAGTACAAGAAGTAAAAAGGGAGTGCCACAGGGATGATGATGATGATCACGTTGGTTGGAGATGAAGGGGAAGAAGGGGAAGATTGAAAAGCTAACCTAAACGAAGAAGTGAATGTATTAGATGATGTTGACTCGGATGCGGAACCTATTGCTTGCGATTAGCTCGTTTATAAACATTTTTCTTATTTGTTTTGTGAAACTTTTTTAAGTTGATGTTTTGATGTTGAAACTATATTTTTTAATTAATGCATATGATATGTTTATGCATGCATACATATATACATTATATATATATATATATATAATTCTAAGAAATATTATACGAACCATTGTTTTTGAACCGTTATTTCAAATATCGGTCTTGACCGCTATTTTGTACTTTCACCGTTGTAACAGCATAGTTGCAAATATGCCTGTTCAACATGACCGGACTAAGCATGTGGAGACTGACCAATATTTTATCAAAGAAAAGTTGGAGACTGAACAAATATGCATGCCATTTGTTCCTATGACAGAGCAAATTGCAGATATTCCTACCAAGAATTATTCAAGCTTTCATTTAGGTCTATAGCTAGCATGCTGCAACTTCTAGATGTTTATACACCCATCTTGAAAGAATGTCCGATATTAGAGCAAGCAAAATATTTAGCTTCCTGAAACTAGGAAAGGTGTTGTAAGTTGGAAGATTTCTAGATTCTTTAAAGATAGTTTCCTATCTTAGGAGACCTTGTGAATATGTATTTATAGGCCTATAACTCCATGTATTATTCAATGAAAGAGAATGTATTTTTTTTCTCTCCAAACGAAAGTAAGAAATGCAATTCTCATGAGAAGAATGGTTAGTAAATAAGCCGATTAAAAGAAGGCATTCAATTGATACTATGAGAAGAAATTCAATAAGAAATATGTGTAGAATAATGGTTGAGTTCCTATTAAATACTATGAAAACTCAAACATAGTCTAATTATCATCCAAAAGGCTAGATCAGTTTGGCGAAATCGAAAGCCAAAAGATAGTTTACTTGGGATGTAGAGTTTGATTAGCATTTCGTTATCAGTAATTGTCTAAGCACATTCAGTTAATCATCTTTCTAAGACAAAACCCATGACTAAATACAGTATGTGGTAAGCCGACACATAAATAACAATTGTAATTTGTGTAAGTAGAAACAGAACAAAATTAAGGACATAGAATCCAAAAAAGTGAAAACGCAACGAACTAATTGAAAATACATACTGAATGGCATTCGGAGAAGTCAGTAACGCAGCCGGAATCAACAAGAAGTTCTCCAATGGCCTCAAAGGCGCCTTCTCCTTCATATCCAAAATCAAAATCTTCATCCGCGAGGACGTTAATAATGTAATCGATGATTGGCTGGTCCAGATCTTGTGCTCTAGGACCTAATACTTCGTAAACAACGTTGCTAGCTACTTCAGTCATTTTGACGGCAATTTAAGACGGTGCCGGCAACTGATAATCCGGCCGAGATTGAAAGACGATGATGAAGAGGACAAATCTTAAACCCTTTCTAATGGTTGGCTTACACCCATCTCTCTCCCCTGAGTCTCCCTTGTGCAGTTGCGGGCCGAAAGAAAAGAAGCCCTTTTATGTTAATGGGTCACCTCATATAATTGTAATACGAGTTTAGGCCTATTTTCTTTTTCAATGTTACATGTTGTTTTAAAGGCCCATTATCTTGTTCAATGTTAAATGTTGTTTTAAAGGCCCATTATCTTGTTCAATGTTAAATGTTCTATTAAAGGCCCATTAATTTTGCATCGAGTCGAGTCGAGTCGACCCGTACAAAAATTGTAAAGGATGATATAAATTAAGGGGTTGTCTGTTTACCTATTAATAATTTTATTAAGAGGTGAATCTTGTTTGGCAAAAATGTCTCTTAATAATTTTAGAACCCTCTGAATGATTTTGTATCTTAGGTCTTCTTTAACCATTCAGCGCTCTAATTTTATTGTAAACAATTACCGAACAATTATATTTCATTTTACATCATATCATGAGAGTCTCTTAATTATTCTGACCACTTAATCATTCTGCATCAAACCATTCAGTAACTGTAAAAAAAAACCCTAATTAGTATAAACTAAAACTTAATCTATAAACTTTTTTTGTTACGTTAAAAATTTAATAAGTGGTTTTCAACGATATATATAAAATGATTTTTCGTAACTTACAAGATCATATGTTGAACCAAACTGGATCAACTTTTAAGGTTCATAACAAAAATCTACTGCATCCGAACGATAGAACTGGGACGAGGGGAATAAACATTTGATGTCTCCAAATTCTTTGTTCCTTCTCTATCCTCGTAAATACACGTTATTATTTAGTTTATATTTTTTATTCTCTCTTCACCACTATCCATGATTGGTGTAATTGGACCTAAGGGGATTGGAAACTTAGGCCCGTTTACCAAAAGTTTATTTAGGTAAGAGTTTACCAAGGCACATTATCTTATCGCATGAATATGATAAAGACCAAGAATCTAAACCGGTAAAAACGAGGCAATAACAAAAGTCTTATCCGGTAAGTGAGGGTGACGACTCTTACCACAGTAAGCATTTACCGGGTAATTTGTTGCATATAATTTCGTTTTTGTGAACTAAAATATTACCCGGTAAGCAAATGATAGTGTTGAATTTTATCAGTTAAGTGTTTTGTAAACAGCCCCTTAAAGATAGTAGATTTTTTATCTAGACAAAGTACTCTTTCAACTATTGGCTCTGTAAAATTATTGGCTTTGATTGAATTCATAAATCTATAAAATTATAACAAGTTGTTGAATTTATATGAACGTATACATCAATAAAAGATCCAAATACAAATCCGATACAAGGGTTGACTAAATATACCTATAAAAATTCAATAATGTTGACTTTTCATGTTATTATTTATCGTATTTTAAATAAAAAAACAAAATAAATATGGAACCGTCAAGTCTTTTTTATATTATTTTTATTACATTTAAGCATCGTTTTTTTATCACTATATATATATATATATATATATATTTTTTTTTAATGTTATATCACTGTTAGTCTTAACCTTTGGATTTGGTGATAATACAAATAACATCTGCTTCAACACTTAGAAAATATCATTGCCTTATAAATATGACATCTGATATACGACATTCCCTCGGATCTATCAAAAGTATATTGACATCCAAACTCAGTTCTTATAATCAGATTTCATTTAATGACTTAGTTTTTATGTGTTTTAATAGTCATTTTTCGGATTTACATCTTAAATAACATTTTGGGATTAGATCTCAGATTTGATATTTTATTCCATCCGAATGCGATAATCCAATTGATCCAATAACATGATCAATCACTGTTGATTCTCATAAACCCATAAATACTCTAAGCTTATATGTATCATCCGAGTCTCCATACTTCATAAATAATCTAAGTTGGAATCCAATTTATAGATTATATTTTGGAAATTTTGATAAGATTTTTCTTTAGTAAAAGTCTTGTAACTATCTGTATTGATCCAAGAACAAAAAAGCTTCAACAAAATCAAAGAATAGTTGAAGTGAGGTCAATATTGTAAACAAAGCGAATTGAATTGTCATCTAACCGAAGTAAGATCAATACAAGATAAAGTCAAAAGTAGTCTGACAAATACTATTTCTTGCAAGCCAAAATTGGAGTGAAAACTTATCCAACAAGTTTGACTCACCAACTCTACCAATTGTCGTCCTGGTATGGGAACACGTTTGGCATGTTAGACAAAGTAAGTTTTTTAGTACTATTTTATTAGTATCATACATCTTTTACTGTCCCTCTATGGGGTGGGTTAACAAGTGCTTACATCAACTTCAAAAGATGAAATGAGAAGTTCAAGCATGCACTAACAAGTCAGAAAAAGTCACGCATTAATTTTGGACAACGTCATTTAGTATATTAGTGGCTATAAAAAAGGTCATCCTTGTCATTTATTACAATTCACTCGTTTTGAACGGTATTATGAATGATAGTTTCTTAGGCAAAATCGGCGTCAACCATCAGAATGACTATATTAGTAGTTCAGATCTGAAAGAGTACACTCTTCTCTCACTCTTTCAGTCGTTAGCAAATTTGTCACCTGTCAGATATTTAGGATCAGGTCTTACCTTCCTAATTTCCGTAGCAAATATGTAATTCTTTGTTTCCAATAAACATACATAATTAAAAAAAATGAAAATTTTGATGTGTTTGTATTCAACCCTCCTTCTACAACACACCATGTGAGAGTCATTGCATTCTAGAACCAACAATAATAGCTATCATATGAATGTATTTAATGAAGCTTCTAAATTTATAAGATCTAAAACTCCTATACGAAAAAAGGTTACAATAAGTTGTTGAAACAAAGTTGAGTAACCCGACAACTTATATCCTTACACAAATAAGTTGTTAAAACGAAATTGAACAACCGAATACGATCGAGTTACAAAAACTCATTCTGTTAATCACGACCCAAAAAACGAAATTCTCGGTCTACGATAATGCAGGGATGTCCACCTCCTTACTTGTTAGCGTAAAACTATAAAGAATCTCCATTCTATAGTTCATCGTGTTGATCATCGTCTTCAGCACCATCGGGGGCACCACCACCGGTCCTTTGATAAAGAGCCGTAATGATCGGATTGCATACACCTTCCACCTCTTTCAGCTTCTCATCATACTCCTCCTTCTCAGCCGTCTGGTTATCGTCTAGCCAATCTAAAGCCTCATTCGTCGCCGTCGCCATCTTCTCTTTCTCGTTCGACTCTAGTTTATCAGCCAGTTTATCTTTATCGTTTATTTGATTCTTAATATTGTAGACGTAAGTTTCTAGAGCGTTACGGGAATCAATCCTTTCCTTTACTTTCTTGTCTTCCTCGGCGAATTCTTCTGCTTCACGAACCATACGCTCGATATCTTCCTGGCTCAATCGGCCTTTTTCGTTGGTGATTGTGATCTTTTCGGCCTTTCCGGTTCCCTTATCTTCAGCCTTCACGTTCAAGATACCATTTGCATCTACTTCGAATGTCACTTCGATTTGTGGAGTTCCCCTATTTTCATAAAAGCCAGAGAGCATAAACGAAATTCGCATAACAACAACAATAAAAACTCAATGGCCCAACTGCATCCGGGTTATCAGTAGATCCTAATCTTCTTGGAGGTCAAAGGTTAAACCGTAGGTGATAGGTGTGTATGTGACTTTTAGCGTATATATTATAATATAGAAAAATAAATAAGGGGCTGTTTATTAAACATTTACTTGGTAAGTGTTTTCCGGATAAATTTCGGATGAACATAACAAGAGCCAAGAATCTTACCGGGTAAGAGCAATGAGAATGATGGAGAGTCTTACTCGGTAAGTGAAGATGACGATTTTTACCCGGGTAAGTACTTACCCGGTAAATTGTTGCATTCGATACGTTTTGATGTACTAAAATCTTACGCATCAAAGTAAATTATAATGTTGACTCCTATAGGTAAGCACTTGCTGGGTAAGCATTTGAGTAAACAGCAATAAGATCGGTAAATGATTCACAAACCTTGGTGCTGGAGGAAGTCCTGAGAGATCAAACTTTCCAAGAAGCCTACAATCTTTTGTAAGACTTCTTTCACCTTCGAAAACCTATTACACACCATAAACTATATATGGGCTCAAATGGGCTATTTCTGGACAGCTAGTAGTTGTCTGACTTAATAAAGTGCTTAACAAAGACTTGTGTTTATAAGATAAACAACTTTGAATCCTATACAATGACGTTACAATAAGTTGTTAGAACAAACTAACACGACCTAACAACTTATTGTAACGCAATCTTATACACGCATAGTTGTTGGCGTTCAATGACGATCGAAAGATGACTTAATGGAGGATTGAAGAAAGTTGAAGGTACCTGAATGGAGACTACAGTTTGCTGATCTTTGTAGGTGGTAAATACTTGAGATTTCTTGGTTGGGATAACAGTGTTCCTAGGGATCAATTTGGTCATCACCCCACCAATGGTTTCAATACCAAGGGTCAGTGGAGCCACATCCAAAAGAAGGATATCTACAGAGTATGCAATCTAATAAGACACAAGCTTTATCAATAGTGTTTGTTTTCATCTGATTTCATCTTAACAACTTATTGTAACGCTGTTAAGCATCGAAAGAAATGGGTTACCTTTGGTTTCATCTCCGCCCTCACCGCTCAAGATTCCACCTTGTACTGCAGCACCATAAGCAACTGCTTCATCAGGGTTCACACCCTTGTTGGGTTCTTTCCCATTGAAGTAGTCCTTGAGGAGCTGTTGAACCCTTGGGATTCTAGTACTTCCACCAACAAGGACAATCTCATCAATCTGTTTCTTCTCCAATCCAGCATCTTCCATGGCCTTTTTCACTGGTCCCATTGTCTTTTTGAACAAGTCATTGTTCAACTCCTCGAATCGAGCTCGGGTCAATGGCTCGGAGAAATCCGTGCCGTCAAAAAGCGATTCGATCTCAACACGGATTTGGTGTTGGCTGCTCAACGCTCTCTTTGCTCGCTCGGCTTCCCTTCGCAACTTCCCGATAGCTCTGTTGTCCTTGCTTATGTCTTTGTTATGCTTCTTCTTGATCAGTTTGATGAAGTATTCCATTATCCGTTGGTCGAAGTCCTCACCTGCAAAATATAGCAGCCGTTTACTACCTGTTTACCGCCTCTTACCCCGGCTAGGAGGCGTTTACCCGGTAAAAAAGGAGATATGATGTTGTTTACCAACACACCCTGACCCACAAATATACGAACTGAGATTGGTGTTTAAGTGAGCACTTACTCCGACTATATTCTTACTCTGTTAACCGCTTACTTAATTTGTGCTTGTAAACAACTAATTTTAAGCCAAGAAAATGAATGGAAGCTTTTCGTGGCACCGTAAATGTGATCGTGGTAAACAAAATACTCACCTCCAAGATGGGTGTCTCCATTTGTGGCAAGAACCTCAAAAACGCCATTATCGATGGTCAAGATACTGACATCGAATGTACCACCACCAAGGTCGAAAACAAGAATGTTCTTCTCGCCACTTTTCTTGTCCAAGCCATATGCAATAGCAGCGGCTGTGGGCTCGTTGATGATTCTAGCAACATTTAGACCAGCAATTACACCGGCATCCTTCGTAGCTTGCCTTTGGGCATCGTTAAAGTATGCTGCAAAAGATGAAAAAATAACCATCAACTTAACTTTGTCTTAACAACTTATTATAAACTAAATTCCTGTTATGGTAAATTTTGCAAAGTTACTGACCAGGAACAGTAACAACTGCATCTTTGATTCTGTTTCCAAGGAAGGCTTCAGCTGTCTCCTTCATCTTGGTTAAGATCATAGCACTGATTTCCTCAGGACTAAACACCTTTTCACCATCCTTAAGTTTGACTTGGATATAAGGCTTCCCATCCTTATTCACAATTTTGTAAGGAACAAGTTTCATATCCTTCTGGACTTCTTTGTCCTCAAACCTGTTTTATATACACATAGTTTCTAAATATACCTTTACAAACGCAATAATTCGTACAAACTTACACACAAACTCGAAAACCCACATGTGAAAATGCAGCGTTTATATATATAGTGTTCAGGATTGTTGTTTTCCACACAAAAAATGGCCCTGAATATAAAAAAAACACTTGATAAACACTGTATTTTTACACGTGTTGTTTCATATTGGTTTGTAAGTTTGTGTATATATATATGAAGAAATTGAAAATGAAGTTAAGTACTTTCTTCCAATGAGTCTCTTAACATCAAATATGGTTCTCTGGGCATTGACAGCTGCCTGATTCTTTGCAGCCTCGCCGATCAACCTCTCAGAGTCGGTGAATGCCACCCACGATGGAGTAATTCGATTTCCCTGATCGTTTGCTATGATCTCAACATGACCGTTTTTGTAAACACCGACACAAGAATAAGTCGTTCCTAGATCTATCCCGATAACGGTTCCCAACTTGCTGGCTTCCTCTTTCGCGATGGAAATTGCAACTAAACAACCTGAGAGATATTATGCAGTTGATCAGTCAAATACCAACATTGAATAATCTTTCCAAAGATGTATAATTATCATATCAAGAACTATAATTAGCTTACAAATCCAAAAGGATTACATACTTGAAAGATACTATCAACAGCCATACTATTTTAGAAATTTTTAAGATTCAGAAAAAGTTTACTCATTGGAAGAACCGAGAAATCTCCAAATTTAAAAAAAGAATGAATAAATAAGAAACGGTAAGTTACCGATTAAGACGATGGTTGTTATCGCGATGCCAAATCGACCCATGGCTTTTTGAGTATTACACTACTAGAATAATGAGTATTTTCGGCATACGGAATATATATATATATATATATATATATATATATATGTGTGTATATAATCGCGCATGCATGAAGATAGGGCGAGTTGATAGGTCGCTAATTAAGGCAATTCCATGTCATCAGTGCTGTCGTGGGGCAACCTCATTTTAACAACGAGTTTTTTAACCAATTAGATTTTACCACGTGTTGCATCCTACGTGGTGTTTCCTCGTGGGTTTTACATAGTCATGTTTAAATTTTGAAAGCTTAGTTTATTGCAAAATAGACCCTCAAGTTGTAAGTTCTAGTAATTTAAACCCTTTGATTGTTACTTATGATGAATTATATCCAAAAGATCCATTATATTGTATCACGCAATGTAGCCTCTAGTTATCAAGCTTCAATTTGTATTCGCTTCTATAAAATAAATCTTTTTAAATGGTTTAAATTTTCCATGAACCCATTTATTGTTTTAATATTATATATAAAAAAAATGGAACCACTTACCATATCTTAATCAATAGTATATTATAATATAACACTCTTGATTACTTTATTGGAATAGAACCATGAATCATATAACCTTTTTATTAATTGCTATACATTGCTATGAATTTATACCTTTTCGGGTAATCGTTTTCCAAGCATAATAGCAAATACATCAAACTAAAGTATCATATATATATATATATATATATATATATATATATATGATTAACCTGGATATTTAATCCGTTATGTGAGCCGACTAATCTCAGGACGACCATCTGTTTTGCAGATAACCCGAAGTCATTGCATTTAAACCTCCATGGCCACAAAGGGGATTTTTATTTATTTTGTATATGATATGAGGAATCCCAATAAATTTATGGCATAACATATCAATCAAAAATCCAACCAACTTGATCAAGTTAGCAATCAATATGTAAAATGTAGGTTAGATGATGAAACTAATTGAAGATAACCACATACTTTTATGTTAGAAGATCCACATCCTATCACTCTAACAAAGAAGACGGGTCTCCCCATCTCTAGGTAGGGACAATTTTTGTGATTTACTCTACAAGGGTTTGATGGTGTATTTTGTAAAGTGCTAAATATATGTATGAAGTAGCAACTTACTTTCATAAATTTCTTTCTTTTAACTTTGTATTTTTTTATTTATTTATTACAGTAATGTATTTTTTTAAATTATTTTTATTATAACATTTTACTTTGAAAAATTTATCATTTATAGTAATGAATAACCTTTTGATTTGATTTCAATTAGAATGCGTTTGGTGCGCGGACAGGACAGGACAGGACAGGACAAGACAGAACAGGACAGGACAGGACAAACAGGACAGGACAGCTGTTCAGCGTTTGGTAAGACATAACAGGACAGGACAGGACAGGTTAAAATGACCAATTTACCCCCAGTAACATGTTTAGTTTTTTTTCTCTAAATAATCAATATAATAAATGCTTACAAATACTATTTAAAAATATCAAAAAATTTCCAAAACCCACAGAAATTAACAACAAGAACCCACAGAAATTAACAACAAAAAATTTACAAAACCCACAGTTGATAACAACAAGAACCCTAGAATCAAAACCCACATAAATTAACAAGAAATTAATCATCATCAAAACCCACAGATATTAACAAGAACCCTAGATTCAAGAACGAAAGGAGATGTCGTTCACTACTCACAGATCGTTCACTACACAGATCGATTGCGTACCTGGGTATGGAGAGAAGAGACGCGATGGAGGTGATGGAGGCCGTCGATTGAAACTCGCCGTCGATTGAAACTCGCCGTTGACAGGAGGAATCGATCGAGACGATGGAGCGATGAAAAAGGGTTAGTCGTTCTTCTTGCAGCCGGATGGGAAAAGGGTAAAGAGGGAAATAAGGTTGTGTTCCACTTAGTTCCAAGGGGGTAGGATGGAACACGTGTGTCCAAGGTTTATCCAAGTTAGTTCCACTTAGTCCAACATTGGGCCACACCAAACACAGGACAAATGTATTCTGTCATGTCCTGTCATACCCTGTCCAGCGTACCAAACGCACCCTTAACACACAAAGTTAGTTCATATGACATGTAATCTGTTGAGAGGGTTTTTAATCATGCCATATAAGCATAGCCTTGATGTCTTCCACGTCATCTCAATAATGACAAGTAAGCAGGTTATAACTGGTTTAGAACTTAAAAAATTATCCACACTACAATATGTAGATTTTTTTAAATACAATGATCTAATAAAAAATAATTCAAAAACACGTAATTATAATTAAAAAATAAAAATAAAATACTAAAATAAAAACATTTATAAAAATAGGTTAATATTTCATACCATTTATCTTTTCTGTAATTGGAAGATGGCTTTGAATGTACTCCAAATAGTACTATTCCAACCAGCTTCCTCTTGCTTGACAAATTTAATTATAATTATGAATTTAATTATAGTTTAACTTCTTTTTCAATTTATTATAATCATTTTTTATTAACCTGAATATCTAACCCGTTATGCGAGTCGACTAATCACAGGACAACCACCTGCTTTACAGATAGCCAGGAGTCACCGCATTTGAACCTCCGTGACCACAAGAAGATTTTTGTTTCTCCTTGGATTTGAATTTAGGATCTCCTGATACTTTTGATCTTTGGAGTCAAGCTTAAACCAATCAGACACCACTCTTGTGGTTTATAATCATTTATTTTACATCTTAAATAGTGTAATTGTTATTTTGAAAATATTTTTTAACCATATTAAAACATTTTATTTTACTAATGCATGAAATATTTTAATAATAGAGCAAATCACGATTTTTCATCCATATGGTTTGCTAAACGTTTTGATTTTTCTCCTTGTGGTTTAAATATTGTGATTTATGGTTTACAGTTTACTGTTTTTTTCGTCCATTGATTAATTCTTACCTTTAAGTACAAGAGACTAAGAAAAGTAAAGAATTGTAAACCACAGATGTTGAAACAACAATAAATTATAAATCATAAAGAAGAAAATAGCAATGAATTACAAACTATAAGAACCAGAACCACAATTTTTAAACTATAGGACAAATTGACAAAAATTGTAATTCTTGATAAATTATAAAGAAAAAATCAAAATTTACTTCTAATAATACTAGAAGCATACTCGCACAATGCAACGAGACACATCTTGATTTTAATGTTCTATTTTATTATTTGTTTCTGTCGATGTTATAATACGATTTTATGTGTTTTTAAGAAAGTAATAATGATTTTATTTTTGAATAAAATATAAATGTGAAGATATCATAAAAATTAAAAAATATATATATCAATGTTAATATCAAAATCAACTATTTAAAAGTTATCATTTTTATGTAATTTCTTTAATTTATTTTTTTATTATAATTTAATTTAAGTTTAATAACGAAATAATTTATTTTTGGTTTAATAATATAACAATTTATAAAGATAATAATTAAGTATTCTGTTAGAACTCAATGATTATCCTAATTATATTTTAAATTTTTTTATATTTAGAATGAGATGTTTATCTGCAATTAGTTACACAAATTTAAATATAAAAACTTTAATAAGTTGTGTTTACGCACAATCTATTTGCAATCTTGAGTGTTAAGTAATATGCATTATTAAATAGTAATTTATGCATAAAAATGATTTTTAAGAGTTTTTATCAAATATTTTATAATATAATATAGATAAAGTTGAGTTTATGTAAAACTAACATGTTCTTGTGAGACATTTTTTACATTTAAAACTTTACAACAAAATACTATAAAAATAAAAAAGACGAACCTCTACAATAAAAACACTGTGAATGTTACATTCACGATACTTTATTAAAGTTTCTAAGTGAAAAAAAAATGATATTATGTAGACAAACATCTCTCGTTTTTATCCCAACCCGTATATATATATATATATATATATATATATATATATATATAGGGTTTATTTCAAATACAACCTATCGCATTTGTACAACCAATGCAACCTAATAAATTGAAATAATTATGGAAATGATTAGAGTTCATTTATTATGATTTAAATATTTATGGAAGATGAATACGGTTCATTAATTATGATTAATACTTTATATTAGGAAATAATCAAAACATCTATAAAATCACATATTAATCAAATGAAATGGACGGTTGAAATTGGGTTGTATTGGTTGCACAAATGACAAGGGTTGTATAATAACCAACCTATATATATATATATATATATAACAAATAACTTTCTTTATTTCCATTTTCTGAAAGACATTCTTCCGACCCCACTTGGGTGTGTCTGAAAAAGGGGGATTGATTGATTTTCGAGAGACCACCAACCTTCTCACCCCTCTCTCTCTCTCAGTCCACAGTTACTGTGTAACAGTCACCAACCACAATCGATAATCGTTGCAAGCTATAAACTCATCTCCCTCCTCCATCAATGGTTTCTACATCTCCGGCCTCTATATGCACCGGCAACTTTCACATTTTTATATATTCGACGTACTACACCCATGACTGGGCTAATTTCGTTAGATTCTTACTCGATTGGCCAGAGGACAGTTTCGTCGGCACAGCGGAGGCCTCAATCGCAACCGACAACGTTCTCACGCGCAAAACCGTCGCCGGATTCGACCTCCGCCAAGAAGAAATCTCTTCAGAAACAGTACTTACATGATGAAGCACCATTGGACAATCCCGATTTAGGTCCGTTCCTGCTGAAGCTTGCGCGTGACACTATCGCAATTGAAGGAGAGCCGATTAAGACTCTGGATTACGCGCTTCGCGCTTCAAAATCGTTTGAGAGGTGCGCCATTGATGGCTATCCTAACCTTGATCTGGTTATGTGCTTGCACATTGTGGCCTCGATTTACTATAGCATGGGGAGGTTCGAGGAGGCAATTCCGGTGTTAGACAGGGCAATTAGGGTTCCCGTCGTGTCAAGAGGTGCTGATCATGCGCTGGCTGCATTTTCAGGGTATATGCAGCTAGGTGATACTTATTCAATGCTCGGGCAGCTTCACCGGTCTATTAAGTGTTATAAGGAGGGGTTGAAAATTCAGATGGAGGCTTTAGGGGATACAGATCGGCGAGTTGTTAAGACCTGCAGGTAACACTTTTTATTTCAACAGCTGCAACTCCAATATTCTCTGATCTCTACTTTGGTTTAATTCCTGCCGTTTTGCTCTAACATCACGCACGTTAACATTATTGTGCCCTTTTTAGTTCTATTTCATGCTGAACTTTTCTTGACGCCTTCGTTGTTATCTAATAGAACTTTTTTCAGTCATTACATGTTTCAATGCTTTCTGCATTTGGGGTGGACGCTGAAACTTATTCTGGAAATTCCTTATTCAATATTGATTGCCACAGAACTATGGTAACCTTAAATTCCAACATTTAGGATTGATGGAGAATCTTTAAATGGGGTGACATGGGTCATCATACTATGTTCTTTTGACTCTTGCCTAGCAATGACCCATCTGAAAAACTACCTATTTTTTTTACATGTTGCACTTCCTACACTTTGGAGCAGAATTGCTATTGCTTCCCTAGTTTCCTGTTTCATATGAATGGTGAACTACTGAAATCACAAATTCAAATCAAGGTGGCATAAAATGATTAGAAATTGCTTAGGTCTTTTCGGGCATTTGACTGTCTTTCAGCTGACTGTTTGTTTCAATCCAATAAGTTTTATGTTGGAAACTACCAACTTCTAATGCTTAGCATTTGGCTTTCCAAATTTGGTTCTTCATTTTTCAAAACTGATGGTCTATTTTTATTTAAATTGTATAGGTACTTGGCTGAGGCTCATGTTCAAGCAATGCAGTTTGATGAAGCATATAAACTGTGCAAGAAAATCCTTGAAATCCACAGGTTACACAGTCCACCTGCATCTCTTGAAGAAGCAGCTGATCGACGGTTAATTGCGATTATATGTGAGGCAAAAAAAGATTATAAAGCAGCCTTAGAACACCTTGTACTTGCTGGTATGGCAATGATTGCCAACGGACAAGATAATGAAGTTGCTGTCATCGACCTCAACATAGGCAACATTTATTTGTCACTTTCCCATTTTGATGATGCCATCTTCTCGTATGAAAAGGCACTTGCCGTCTTCAAATCATCCAAGGGTGACAACCACCCTTCAGTAGCCTCTGTTTTTGTACGCCTTGCTGACCTGTATTTCAAGACCGGAAAGCTACGAGAATCTAGATCCTATTGTGAAGACGCTCTTAGAATATATGCAAAACCCTTACCTGGAATGGCAGCACAAGACATTGCAAGTGGAATGATAGAACTTTCTGCAATATACGAGTCTTTCAATGAACCTGAGAAGGCGTTAAAGTTGTTGCAGAAATCAATGAAACTTCTGAACGGTAAGCCAGGTCAGCAGAGTACAGTTGCAGGAATAGAAGCACGTATTGGGGTCATGTGTTATATGGTCGGAAGGTATGAAGAAGCAAGGGGATCTTTTGAAAGTGCTGTTGCTAAACTTAGGGCTAACGGAGAAAGGAAATCCGAATTCGTTGGGGTTGTTTTGAACCTTATGGGGTTGGCTTGTGTACAACTGTTGAAGATAGATGAGGCTGCCGAGTTCCTTGAGGAAGCAAGGGAAATTCTGGAACATGAATGTGGCTCTCGTCATCAAACTACCCTTGGAGTCTACAGAAATCTTGTAGCAACATATGGTTCTTATGGGAGGTAAGATATCTATTCATATTACTTTATGTAGGCTTGTTCTTATCAAGCTTTGTCGATTGGGTAAGATGATAATATCCACAAACCTTGGTAATAACTAACCCCCCTCCCGTCTGCAAATAAGACATGTAGATTAACAACATTAACTGTATTTAATTCCTGAAGCAACCGTGTAAAAAGATATGGTTTGTTCTTGAGTTTACTTGTGCAAATAACACTTAAAATTTCAAGATTTTATGGGAGGGATGAAGTATGATAAATACTACTAATTGTAGTAATGCTCCCTCGTCCGTAGATATTCATTTGTTTTTGAGCCATGATCCCTTGAATTGCTACATAGCACAACTTATATATTCTCTACATTCCACATGTATCTAAATCTCTTGTCTTTTTAGACATCTTCATTATTGCATCCCAATATATTGTGAATGATATTACTGATTGATCTTGTGATATAGACTGGAAAACACTATTTTGAGTAAGCAAAATCTTAGTGACTTATGAGATAATATTTTCAAAATTTTGTGATGCAAATGTTGGTTTATAAAGTTAAAAAGTGCCATCCGTCCAATTTGTTGGGTACCATTCACCAAAAACCAAAGTGCCAGGGGATGGATTAGTCTTATGAAATAATTTAAGCAACCTTGATGGTTTGATGAACACACTATTGAATTCAACATGGAATTGGAAAGGAAATCGAACATTTACATAGATTTACAAGCACTTTGAGACTGCTGGATGTCTCCCTGGGCTCTTGCCTGAAATACAAACACTAAATTGATCTATGCCCTCTCAGAATCCCAACCACACCCCCTCCCTATTTATACCAACAGATTCATAACTCTGTTTTACCTACTTGTACCACAGCAGTAACTACTTTTATATTCCTAACATAGTCTACTATATTTCACTTGTTTGACCACTTGTACATTACATGGAAACTGGAAAGGTTTATAATCTATCCATGAAAACTTGCATTTCATGATCAGGTATTGTAATACAAATCTGTTTACAATGCAGCTGCATTAATGGCAAAAGGCCGATGGTAGAGAAATAGCATACATGCTTAGTTGTCTGGTTCACTTGGCAAACTTCATTAAAATCTGATGGTGTCCCGCATGCATAAATACAATTTACTATGATTCAACCGTAGATCATGTCAAGTTCAATGCTTCAGAAGATAACATCATGTTTGCAGATCCTTCATGGTTCAAAAATTTGCTTCTGCAAATTTGAAATTCAATCATCTTAGACTAGAAAACAGTTTGCAGATTCTAAGGGTGCATTTGTTATGCAGGACAGAACAAAAACTTTGTACCACGTTGGGTGTGACATTAGACTGGACAGGGTTTAAGTAGGATTATGTGTAACTAAGATGAGGTAGATGAGACAAGATTAGTCAATTAGTAAACTACCCATGTGAAATTAAAACCATAAAACCTTGCATAATTCTCTCAACCGCCTATCTCACTCTCACCCGACCATTCCAAATGCACCCTAAATAGTAGTAGGACTAGCTCATACTTTTGCCACAGGGAGTGCATAGGCAAACAACTTCGGCCATCAATAATTTTCATTTTCAGGATGGCCATGATTATAGGTCCTATAAAAGGATAATGGACGACCGAAACTTATTTATGTTGGTTTGAATATGCAGAATCGAGGACACAATCGAGATGTTGGAGTGCATTGTTGGATTAAGAGATAGAGTAAAACCAGATTTAGTTGATAAGAAAAAGAGGGTGGCTGAACTCCTTAAAGAGGAGAAAAAGAAAGGGAAATCAATGGAAAACCTCATTCATCCAAAGAAACAGTCTTCTTCTTCTGAAAAAAGGCCAGCCTTGGGTTTTACAAGTTGACCAAAAAAGTTGCCTAATTTTCTCTTTGTGATGTAAAAAGATTGGTGGTAAGCGTTTTCGTTTTGTTTCCTATAATACGTTGTACATAATATATCTGTCTGATGATTTTATGGGTAACAACTTTCCGTTTGTAGATACTTCCGAATCTAAGGTGCTGTTTGGTTTGCAGAATTCAAAGAAAATCAAAGGAATTGGAATGACCAAATTCCAAGACCTTTGTTTGGTTCACATGTATTGAAATGGATGGAATCCTTTGAATTCGACAAATTAAAGAATTGATCATTCTTTGGCATAAGTGAAGGAATTGAATTCCATCACTTGCCCTACAATTGAATTCCAGCAAAGAGAACAAAAAACAGAGGTTTGATCAGAATAAATATAGAAAAGTAATGGAGTTTGTAGAATGGTTGAAGTGGAGGACTTTATTCATATAGAGGTGATATCCATCTTTTTTTATAATTATTAAAGTCTTTTTTTTTTTTTTTTGTGTGTATACATATAATTGAATAAAATAAGCTAGTTTTTAAGGAGGATCAAACTAGAACAATACTATTTAAAAGAATATGAAAACAGGCAAATCACGTGTGATTTTATACTAACATCACATACAAAATCACATATGATTCAGATGACCTTACCCGGCGACCTGAAGATGTAGCCACAAGTCGTCTGGACACTTTTTTTGACCATTAATGTAAAATCACATGTGATTTTACACGTGATTTGTCCATTTTCGTGTTCTTTTAAATATGTAGCATTCACGTTTAATCCCGTCTCGGTGGTTCAATAGAAAGCCTAAAAAAATGAAAAATTAAGAAACATCTTCACAATAAAAAAAAATCAAAGGTTAAAATTAAAATGGCATACTTTCAAACATCTTTGTGTTTTAATGGCTGATGAAGATAAAAAATATAGAAAAAAAAATTCAAACTGTGGCACCATTTGATTAAGAAAATGACATTAACAGGATTCGAACTCGGGTCTGGGATGGAATACGAGCCTTGCAAACTTAACCACGCTACCAAAGAAAACTTGTTCACATTCTAATTTCAAGATACATACAGTGGCACATAACAAATTAATACGGTTGTACCTTTCATGAACCTAAATTTTTTTACTCTTCTATGAAGAAATAATACGGTTGTGCTTAACATGTAAGATAGTCCTTTTGCTTATAATAATTTCATCTTACTAACAATATCATTTACAAAGAGACATTTGAAGAAGGGGACTGCATAATCTCTTTTACCATATTATGTGTTCTCTTGGCATCACTCGCCATCCACTTAAGCAAATGCTACACTATTATGAGTTCATAAATGTTAGATGTATGTTCTTAGATCCAAGTTTTGAGCATTTCTCGTTATTGTGGGCAAGATCGCATAGGTAATGAAACTTTCGGTACATCAAATGCTATCGTGCCTAGGGGTGTAAATGATACGAGACAACTCGCGAGCTATTCGAGATCGACTCGGTCAAAACTCGACTCGAATAGGCTTGGCTCGAACTCGAGCTCCGCTCGATATATTAATGAGTCGAGTTAAGCTACACAATACTCGACTCGAAAAGCTTGTGAGATACTCGATTTTTTTATATATAATTAGTTTTAAAATATAATCAGTTTTTGTGATAAAATTTGTAAAATATAAATAATAAAAATGTCTTATATTTTTAGATATTTAAACAAAATTATGCATTTTTAATTATAAAACTTAATCAATTATTTTTTATTAAAATCACATTAGAAAAAAGACAAGAAAAAACCATAAAAAATGTTAGTGAAATTATCCCACGTAGGAAGAGAGATGGTAAAGGAAGAGATAAATAATGTCATAAAAAAAAAAGGAAGTGAATGAAATTTCTAACTTTGTCTTTTTGATGATGAAGTTTGAAGTTGATCCTTTAGTTTTATAAAAACTAAGAGAACATCTTTAAGTTTTAAAATTTATAAGAGAAAAACCCTAAAATTTCATAAATTTCAATAGGTGAGCGTGGTTCGAGTTTTATTCAAGTTCGAGCTTGTTTTGAGCCCGAGTTTTAGCTTGATTTGAGCTTTAGTTTGAGCTTGATTTGAGTTTGAGTTCGAGCTTGAGAAATAGTTATCAAGTTCGAGTCGAACTTTGATTTTTACTACTTGCGAGTTTTCGGGTAGAATTCGAGTTTAGAAATTGGGTTTCGAGTTCGAGTCGAGTATAGTGATATACTCGAGCTCGACTCGCATCATTTGTACTCCTAATCGTGCCATTGCCACAGTCGCATGTAAATATCGTGTTGAATGCCTCTAGTGTGTTTTAAATCAAATTTTAGTGTTTATTTTTACATATTTATACTCTCTCTCTCTCTCTCTCTCTCAACTAAGCACAAATCTCAAGTGTAAACATAATCAAAGTGATAGTGGATTTGTTCTTGACGTCCTTCATTACAACAAAATTGGATTTATTAGAACGTCAAAAATCTATAAAATGTCCCAATATATCGTTTTATTGAAAATTAAATTTACAGGACGCCAAAAAATTATGAAGTGTTCTAAGATATAGTTTCATTGGACTTATATTTATGGTTGGATTCTGGTGAGATTGTTAAAGAGTAAGATGAGAAGCGTAAGAAAGGTCTCCACCTTTAGATTCACATTAGGATGAGATGCACTGTATCAATTTTTTTATCAGGTGCAATTCATGGGTGAGTTTGAGATTAAAGGTAATCAGGCTAAGGGTCTAGATCTCTACTTATACTTCTTACCTTAACTCTACTTCTCACACGATCCTTCGCCCTTATGTTTATTGGACCAAACATATATGTGTTTATATGACATTTTTCAAAAATATCTTTGTAAATAAGCTAATATGACACTTTATTTGAAAAATATTCTGGAAACTAAAGTAAATTACGCTTTTGGTCCCTATGGTTACCACCTACTAGCAACTTTCGTTCCTCTTTTAAACTAATCACAACTTTAGTTATTGTTGTTGCCATTTTGTTTCACTTTTGATCCCTCAGACTAACTTATGTTAAATAGGTCTATTAGATCGAAGGGTATCTTCGTGTTTTTAATCCTTTTTGGTTTTTTTATTATTTTATTTTATGAAAAAAATAATTTTTATATTCTGCAGACAACAAAATCAGAAATTATTAAAAAACACACAACCAAAAAAAAAAAAAAAACAAATGAAGCCCAATAATTGTCCATAAATTAGGTTACACTTAATAGTTAATAGTAAGAAAGAACAAGTACTATTTACGACTACACCTCAGCCCCATTTAAACACTAAAAACTGTTTATTACCGGTACCACATTGAAATAAGTCAATAAACAGTTTAAATAAACATCTCAAACACCCCCTTATCGGAGATTGTGAACATCTAAACATGTTAGTGGTTGTCAACCGTAGCCTTCTTGTTCTGACCTCTACGTCCACGAACAGATCGTTTATCTGCAGTTAGTTACACGAATTCAAAAATAAAGTTTTAATAAGTTGTGCTTACGCACAATTTACTTGTACTATTGAATTTTAAGTAATATGCATTAATAAACAGTACTTCATGCATAAAAAAATATTTTTAAAAGTTTTTGTCAAATGCTTTATAATATAGTATCGATATACATAATTTACTTATTTTATTAACTTTTAAACTTAAAATTAAATAAATTATAAAAAGATAAAAATACCCTTATGAAAAATACCTTTCTGAGTATTTTTAACCAGAAGTTAGTCTGAGCTACCAAAAGTGAAACAAAATGTCAGTCACAGTGACCAAAACTGTAATCAGTTCAAAAAAGCGACGAGATTCGTTTTTAGACTGCACACATATTTGCTTGCTCGTATAAGACGACCTATTATAACATTTAGATATTTGTAATGTTTTGGGGTGTCCGTCCATGGTTTTTCCCTTTTCGGGTTTTCCACACAAAAATATCTGTTGTTATCTCTTCCTTTCTTTATTTTATGTGATTGGGTTTGATTATTGATTCCATATGATCATTAGGTGATATTCTTGTATTATGTTTGGATCTTAATGTAAAACTATGTTCATTGTTCTTGGTGGTATCGTAACTTTTTGACCTAGATTGAGTTTATTTGTAATTCAGGATTCTTGGCTCGTGTTCACTTAAATACTGACCCAATGAGTGCTTGATCACTTTCCTTATCAGGTGACTTAGGGGTTGTTTGGTAGTTACTGAATGGTTTTGTCTAGAATCATTAAGTGGTCAGAATGATTAATAGGCTTTCATGATATAGTGCAAAATAAAATATAATTGTTTGATAATTGTTTACAATGAAATTAAGGCTCTTAATGGTTAACAGAGACCCATGATACAACATCATTCAGAGGGTTTTAGAACCATTAAGAGACAAACTTTTTTTTTTTGCCAAACAAGATTCATTTCTTAGCGATTCAGAGATTGCCTCTTAATGGAACTATTAAGAGATAAACAAACAACCCCTTAGGGGCCGTTTAACTACACATTTACCCGGTAAACGTTTAACGGTAAAATTCAAGTATATCGCTTACTTACCGGGTAAGATTTTAGTCTACCAAAAAGACATTGTATGTAACAATCTACCTGGTATATTTTGTATTTCTTATATATAAAGAGATGGGACTATACAGTTGCAAATACAAACCGTGTTTTTAATACAAACTAGATTCAATCGTTTATCTAATTTTTTTGAATAATACTATATTCTAAAGAATTTGGACTCCTATTTCTTGTGGGCCCTAGACGTATGTCCGGCCCGACGGCCCTCATTGTCACGCCCAAAAATGAACCATGGTCAATGGGTACACCGGAAAATGAATTAGGTGGGTTTAAACCTGGGTGTTTTGAGTAAGGAGACGTGGTTTTGGTTTTCGGAAAATGGTGGGGTGGTGTTTTGGTTTTTGTTATTTATATATATTTTGTTATTTAAAGATTAATAAAAACATAAACATACCTCTTAATTCTTATGTAACCAAATTTATTTCAGTACGAGAGATTCAATCCAAAAAAAAATAATGATAATATCTATAATTAATTTGTTTAGGGGACCCAGTCCATAATTTTGATACAACCATAAGAGTGGTACCTGGTTGGTTTGAGCTTGGTTCCAAATGTCAAAAATTACCTGGAGGTCTCAGGTTCAAATCCAAGGAGGAATAAAAACCCCTTTGTGGCCACGGGGGTTTCAATTGATGTGGTATCAAACTCGAGTTTTATAAAAAGTGTTTGGATTAACTTATAGTAGTAGCAAAATGTAATAAGCTGTTAAAATGTTTTTTAGTGTTTGACAAATTTTGTTTATACATGTAAAATAACCAAAAATAATATTATTCCATATAATGATGGAATGCAGTTACATGTTAATCAAAACGTCGTGACACACATAAAGTGTATGCATAAGAATTAGATGAGCGTGTATCATTGGTGATCCAAATTTACAAGTAAAGTGTTTTACATAATAAATCACAAGTAATTGTGTGTGCGTAGAAAACATAAAGAGAGAGAGAGAGAAGAAACGGACCAAAGGTCCAAACTTTTGGAAAAGATTGGAGATTTGAGCACTAGGGTCGAAGACAGAAGACACTAGTTTATTGGATAATAAGAACTTTGATGCGAAGTAATGTATGGCGGCAACCCTTTAGATTTAGGTAAACATCTGGCTAAAACCCGCTGTTGCTGCGACTGTTCTCCTCCACCACCGTCACCACCCTCCATCGCAGCCGACGATGCCATCCTATTTTCAAAGTTCGTCGATGTAATCTAACAAATACGAGTAGGAATGAGAAGGCAAAAGAGGTGGGTTATTGGGGACTGATTGATACAATGAGGTTTTAAATCAACTCCTATGGACTCACGTATCATGGTTAAAAAGATAAAAAAGATAATTTGGTTTTTAAAGATGATAAGTTGTTTCAAATAAATTAGAAGAAAATAACTTATCAAAAATTATTTATTGATAATACTGATAAAAATATATTTTTTCCCATCCAAACACTAAAAAATCTTTAGGGTGCGTTTGGTATGCAGACTAGACGAGACGGGACGGGACGGGATGAGACAAAAAAAAAATAGTCCTACGTTTGACATGCCATGGACAAAAATTACATAAGACAAAATGAGACTATTTTTAAATTTCATGATTTTTGTTCCAAAAAAAAAAAAGTGGAACGGGACTAAATTACCCTTAAAACCCAATAGAAAACCAAAACCCTCCTTTGCCCTCGTCTCTTTCACACCAGTTCCACTACCACATCGCCTCCTTCCACCATCTCCTTCCGCGCCGTCTCCTTCCACCGGCTCCACCGCCTCCTTCCACCGGCTTCKTCCATATCGGTATGATTTCTCTTTTGGCATCAATTTCTTTTTGCTGTATCGATTTCATTTGCGTCGATTTCTTTTTGCTGTATCGATTTCTCTTTTGCTGTATCGATTTCTCTTTTGCTGGCATCGATTTCTCTTTTGCTGGCATCGATTTATTTTGGTAAACCCTAACAAAATCCCCTCTGGGTCGATTTCTTTTGGCATCGATTTCTTTTGGTAGATTGATGGGTAGAATATGTGTGTAGATGCTAATGCTCTGTTTCTAATATGAAGGGGTTAAGTCTTGTTCATGTACTGTAGTTTTCTTTAGAGAAACTTTTGGCATCTTTTATAAAAAAGTAGGTATAGTAAGCTGTGTATTCTTGTTCATGGAGCATAGGTTTCTGAGGCCATTTCACCACAGTAACAAAAAGTAAGAAAGAACCTACCAGAGCACATATCTTAACTGCATTTCAATCAAAATAACTCACTAAATCCTTCTGTATATCCAATTGTGTTGTGGTTGTCTATTATTAGCACTGATCCTTTTCATAACAAAGCAACTTGTTAAACTTCAATCTGTCATTGATTAGATATTTTTAGGTATAGTAAGCTGTGTATTCTGTTCATGTTGCCTACGGTTTAGTTCAAATATATTACTACGGCCTAATTTTAATTGCTACGGCTTTACCTCCGGCTTGTTGTGTGTGATCGTTATTGCTACGGTTTTGATCGTTATTACCATTTTTGGGCTGTTTTGTGATCGTTTATTGCTACGGTTTAGTTCAAAATGATATATTCGGTCATTTCGGATTCTACACCGAATATATCATTTTCATTTGGGTGGTTGCTTCATCGATCGAATTCTTGGTTGCTTCCACCATCTTTGATAACTCGGTTGTCCTTTTTCTTTTTTTACTTGTTTCTTCTCCTTCACTTGGAGGAATGAAGGAAGGAGAAGTTGGATCTGACGGACTTGGAAAGGGAGGAACACCAACTTCAGTTGAAAAATCTTCGTTGTCTTCCATATTCATATTATGTAGTGCGTCTGTAGCTGACTCAACCATATTTCCCGTTGCTCGATCTTTTCCGAACACCAACTTCAACCGCTCGTAAGCTGGGAATGGCTTATTCGCCGTGTAATTTTTGTTGGGATGTTTCTACGACAAAAAACAAATAAACAATTGTTAAGAGAAGTAACAAAAAGTATTATACATAACCCATTACTATTACAAATCATTTCTCCAGAGCAGTACTTACTAATTCCAGAACACAATTGGTCAAATAGCTTGTATCTTGTACATAAAATACATACACTCATCTGTAATTTTCAAATTTCACTCTGTAAAGATGGCGTAGTCTCCCCACAATCCACATGTTACTAAAACCCTTTGCCAGTTTCTCTATGGTCGCCGCCCCTCACAGACTCAGCGAAGCACTTCTTGGCGAGATCCTTCATCTCCATTTCCAGTCTCCGCAAATCTTTGGTTCTTCCCCCATTTTGTGTAAGTTCTCCTTTTTCTATTTGTAGTTTGTCATAAACATATGCGTTCAATTACCGAATTACATAGATTGTTGTTCTTTTAGTCGTATGGATGTATTGGTGTTTGGTTCATCTGTTTTTTTTTTGGTTAAATCTAGGGTTTATGTTTGGTAAAATGAATCAAGATTAGAAGCAGAATGTTAACATATCAATCCTCTTGTTCTTCATGTACCAAGGGTCTGTTCTTTATTGGCTGAATGGGCTTTATAGTCCACATAACTTATTCGGTCCGCCATAACCGAGTGTAAGCTATGGAAGTGGTGTTGTTTAGATTCAACCACCATCCTGTACCCTTTTCAATTAAACACCCTCCCACCATTTCAGAAGTTGCATTTCATCTGTCGATTCCATGGCATCGAAGCTCTCTATACAGGCTTCAGCTCCTCTCTTGCCATCGCCGGTCTTCTACCTAGTATTGCCTTCTTTCTCTTCATCTTACCTTTTGTTCCATCAAATATTCATTTTTAAGTATTCCCTTATGTCTTCCACGTCTGGGTACCAGAAGAGTTTCTTCAGGTATGTTAGCCACCCTTTTCTGCTACTTTTGAAGAACACTCTCATCCTCTGCTCCCCCCCCCCCCCCAAAAAAAACCCCAACGAGATAAGCAGGCTATGATGGCCCATTTTTCTATTTTCTTTCAGCTTTTAGACATTATTGGATATGTTGACTTACAAATGTATCACATTGATGTTATCTTCTGGGATTTTATTGAAGATTGAGATGTTAGGTTCTGGAATTTTCGAGTTTTTTGAGTGGTTTATAATTCAAGGATCCATGGTTGATTGATCAATTTTAGATATTCATTGTTATTGTTGAGAAGAAAACAAATAGATATGTAAAATGAAAAAATTATAGCCCTGGTTAAAATGGTCATTGACTCATTTCTAACCTTCAAAGTGTTAATTCAACACAAAAACCGAACAACAGTCTATTTTATATCCTACAGACAAAACAGCCCCTAAGATTGATATGCAGTAGGTGTACGGAATTTGGGATTAAATTAATCTTAGATAGAAACAAGGGAGCGTTGCTTGGGATAGTTTGGTTGGTAGTGCTCCTTGGATGCACACTTGAGATAAAGTGCTTATTTTCAAAATGA